ATAATATCTGCCTATGTATATAGAGTTGATTAAATAATTATGATGTTAATATGATTTAATTAAAAATTTACAAAAACAAAAAACAATTTAATTTATTATATTTTGTTTATATTTTACTTCGATTTCAAACTCTTATAAATAATATGATAAGTTCAAAACTTTTGCATGTAAGTATTTAAAACAATATCATAACTTTTAAAACTTACATTTTGAAATTTGAGACCTGTAAACGAAATGTATACTTCTATTTATCATGACTGCTTCCAAATAATCTTAATATTTATATATGTATCTAAAAATTATGAAATAAAATCTCTAATAATTTAACTATTTTGACACTCATAAGTTATAACTATCATCAAAATATTACATATAAATTAAATATGAAATTAGGTTAAATAAAAACTTAAAAAATTTTTGAAATCTAAAAATCAACGTAAAATGCGTTCATTTTTACGTACTTAAGGTTATCGAATTTTGACTTGTGGAAAGGAATATTTTAACCTTGGATCTATTTACAAAACTTCTGAAGATAATAATTTGATTTTGAAATTTTATAGGATATATGAGACGTCATGTTGAATATCATATCTGGTTTTTTTCAATATTTATATTTTTTATCTATGAACTCAATTGAGTGCAAGAAGATTTATCTTTTAACTATTCCAAAAAAACAATTAATAATAAAACGAAAATAAGAAACCTAATTCAACGTCTGTAATTGTACACCACAAGTTTTCAAAAAACGTGTATGAGCAATTAAATTATATAGTTCATTAAAAATTAATTTAATTTTTACTTCACATAATAAATGTTAATTTCTTATTTTCGATCGTATCCGTATTTCAATCAGCGTAAGATTGTATCGATGAATAAATATTTGTATTTAACTGTTAATGAAAATATATGAAGAGTAGTACCTATAATTATATTATATATATATATATATACATGTATATAAAATAAATAAAATTATAGATGTATATAATTTTATTTCGATAAAAAAAATTGTACATATTGTTATAGGTAGTTGAGTGGTTTTCTTCCTCCGAATTGTAAATTCGTACGTGTCTCGATTAGGAAAATGGCCAAGGGAGAAAAAACATAATAATCATAAGCTCCGATTCGCCCTAAAATAGAATATAACCGCTTTCTTTTATTTATGCCTAAAAAATGAATTCCAGCCACGTGAGAGACATTGTTATCCGGTCGAATTTTAATAACATAATCGTCATCTTGTACACGGCGTTGCTCATCATAAGAAGATTAGCCAAGCTTAAAACTTCGAAATTTCCCAACAACTCGTGGTGAATAACAATTACAAGTGTTTTATTCTAGGATTTTTAGTGTAGTACATATTATTATATTCTAAACGTAACAGCGCAACGGCGATTACATACGATTAAAAGAAATAAGTTTGAGTTACGCGTATTATATATATTACAACAATTTAGGTAATATATTTTAAACGTATTTGACAGTTGAAGAAAAAAAATAAATAAAGAAAAAAATTGAAACTTTCCCGAAACGTGTGATGACTGGTGGCACACTTGTACGAATGCTTGAAGTGAATATTAACGTTCCACCAATTGTTTGTAAATCGTCTAAAAACAGCGAGGGAATAACATATGCAAATTTATTTTTTTATGGCGTCACTCCAATTTCACAGAATATATTTTTTCAGTTGGATTTTCAAATTGTTGAAGATTGTACGGAAACTGATGAACTCTAGTTTCCAGGTGAGTTGTGGAGTGAGTATGCACGCAAAAAACCACAGCACGCCGTCAATGTGTCTTAGCATACATACAACTATTATTTAATATAATACAAGCATACAAGTTGGCGTATGCATTTTGAAAGTACAATTGTTCAATAGAAATTGTTATTTTTTTTTCACACACAACCAATACTCATACACATACTAATACGCAAAAAAAATATTACCCCATTGTGTTATGCAATATAGTTTCATGTATTGTCATGCATAGTTTCCGTAAAGACTTACAATAATAATTTGTATTTTTCTGCATAAAGACACTTTGAATGTTATTAATACACTTATAACCAGTTATGAATAAATATACGTGAATAAAATCAAACTTAAATTTATCGAATTTCTTCCCGCTCAAGTTTATTTTACGATTCTAAAATCAATTTCACTTTGGAGGTATTTTGATACTATTTGATATTTTAAAAAAATGTAATTTTGAAAGTGAGCAATATTTTAATATTAAGAAGACAACAAATATGTTAACTATCATCAATAATATCTGTTTATCCCTTAACTCATAGTGATCGTTTAGTTTCGTTAATCAATAATTCTGAATGGAGCGAAGACGCTTAGAAGTAATTGGTCTTACCACGATATGCTTTTGAATCTATATACACAGTAGGATTTCTCCGATCAACAAATAGAAGAATGAATTCTGACAGAAAATTTTATCAATTTGATACATTCAAGAAGTAATTTTTTAAATTTATCATTCATTTTCCAAATATGTAATTCAATAAACTGATGAAAAATTATATAAAAAAGAAAACATTAACGGTTTTTGATAAAATTTATTTTTTTTTTGGTTTTTTGTAACATAAATAATGGTATAATTATCATAAAATGCTGACTTTTTTTTTTTACAAACTTTTGAATTTTAAATTTTGACAAACCTTGATCCAAACACAAAAATCCACACAATTTCTGTGATCAAATTCATACAACTATCAATTTTTATGCTGAATGCTTGAAAATGTAGTATAAATTATTTTTATAGGTATTCGAAAAAAATAATATTTACCAAAAAAGCCGCATATCAATATATGTATATGTGTATAAGAATAAGTGTAAATTTTGAATACATTTTATAACTCAAGATCCAACTAACCGATTTTCATAAAAATTTCAGAGCATATTAGGATTGTTATTTAGACGATTTCTGTGAAGTTTGTTTGCTGTGCAATAAGTGGTTCCGGAGTTTTGGCCTCTTAAGTGCACACCTGGCGACATGGCTAAAAACAACATACATACTGCTGCGCATACATATCGTTGCCTCAGCACAAGACTGCAATAATTCAAAAAAACTATTATTAAGGTATCGAAGCTTCAGTTCAAGATAGAAACAACTCAAAAATATGCAGAATTAAGTTATTTATATGATATTATTTGCAAAATTACTATGATTTCGATTCTATAATGCAATAACTTTTAGTTGCATTATTCACCTCTAGAGGTCTACGTTCGCAAATACGGCCGCCCTTATCTCTTCATAAAATTCACATGCAATCCACAGTGAGATGACATAAAAAGCAATTTGTTTAAAGGACAGATACTAACATACCGCCACGATATAGCAGCACGTATATTTCGACAGAAATTGAAAGCACTGATAGATTTGATTATCAAATTACGAGTATTTGGAGAGGTGCATTGCTGGATGTACTTAATCAAATGGCAAAATACAGGACTGCCGCATGCACACATATTGATATGGCTGGTACGTAAAATAACGCCGGATCAAATTGATAGCATTATATCAGCTGAGATTCCAGATGAAATTGCTGATCCAGAATTATTTGAATATAATCCATGGTCCTTGCGATGCACTCAATTTGAATTCTCCATGCATGATCGATGGTAAATATTCAAAACGGTACCAAAGAGCATTGACTTCTCACACAATAACAGATGATGATGGATATCCGTTATACCAACGTCGGTCTACGGAAGATAATGTCCATACGGTAACGATTAGAATGCAAAATAAAGACATCGAAGTTAATAATCGTTGGGTAGTTCCATACTAACCACTACTGCCTAAAATATTTAAAATACACATTAACGTTGAGTATTGCAATTTGGTCAAATCGATCAAATACATTTGCAAGTATGTCAACAAAGGCAGTGATATGGCTGTTTTCGGAGTAGCTGCTGGCAATAGCCATGATGAAATAGCTCAATATCAAATGGGACGCTACTTCAGCACTAATGAGGCTATTTGGTGAATTGATTCATATATGATGCATGAATGGTTTCCTGATGTTCATTTGGCAGTTTATCTTAAAAATGGCCAACGTGTATATTTTACCAATGAAAATGTTCAAAACAGAGCGGCATGTCCACCAGCAGCATTAACCGCATTTATTCAATTGTATGCAAGTGATGAATTTGCCAGAACTTTGCTGTATTCAGATGTAACGCATTATTACACTTGGACTGCAGAAAAAACATGGCAACGGCGTAAACGGGGGTAGTAGTTGATGGCCATCCAGGTATTTTCCATGCAGAAACTATGGGAAGACTATACACAGTAACAACAGAACAACAGTATGATATTAATGAATTACAAACATTTGTGAATTTAAATATTCCCAAATTAAATTACCATCAAAAAATGTGTACAATACCATCATGCAAGCTGTTCAAAATGAAGCCGGCGGATAATACTATTTGGATGCGCCCGGTGGTACGGGTAAAACATTTTTAATATCATTCATTTTGACAAATATTCAAGCGCAAGGGAAAATTGCATTGGCACTTGCTTAATCTGGAATAGCAGCTACTCTGTTGGATGGCGGACAAACACCACACTCTGCTTTGAAATTGTCATTAAATGTGCTGGTTTGTTTGTATTTATTGATCGATTGGCTTGAAATGCATTTGCATTAATTGAGATGTAATTATTTTTAACGTATTACAGGTGATTGAGAATCCCACGTGCAATATATCAAGCAATTTTGCGATGGCGAAAGTTTTGCAGCAAACAACAATTATTTTATTGGATGAATGTACGATGACGCATAAAAAATCACTTGAAGCAATACACTGCACAATGCAAGATCTACATGGCAACCAAAATATTTTTGGTGGTACATCGATATTATTGTCAGGTGTTTTTAGGCAAACACTGCCTATAATTTCAAGCTCAACACCAGCAAATTAGATCAATGCGTGCCTAAAGCCTTCTTTCCTGTGGTGATATGTGCAAAAATTGACGCTAATCATAAACATGTGTGTTCAGTTGCACAATGATCAATCTGCAGATCGGTTTTCAAAGCGATTGTTGAAAATCGGAAATGGTAAAGTTCGAATCGATAACACAAATGGTTTAATTAGTTTGCCTAACAATTTTTTTACAATTCTCCAATCAAAAAAAGAATTGATTGAACCACTGTTTCCAAATAATGTTCAGAATCACAGGAATCACAATTGGTTGAGTGAACGCGCAATTCCGGTAACAAAAAATGTGCATGTCAATGCTATCAATTATCTCATCCTAGAAAAATTGCCTGGTGCAGTGACATCATACAAATCTGTTGATAGCGGATTGAATGAAGATGATGCAGTCAACTATCCAGTTGAATTTTTAAATTTGTTGGAACCACCCGGTATTCCGCCGCATTGCTTGAATTTGAAGGTCGGCTCATCAATTATTTTACTACGGAATTTGAATGCACCATAACTGTGCAACGGCCCAAGATTAGCTGTAAAAAGATTGATACCGAATTTAATCGAAGCCATAATATTGATTCGCAAAGCGAAGGGGGGGAGTTGTACTCATCCCGTGTATTCAAAAGTTGGCACTGTAAATTTTTTATTTGTGTATGCCCCAAATGGACAAACAAAAAATATTGTTTACCCAAATGTGTTAGATTAATAATAAAGAATTTGTTGTTAAGAATTTTGAGTCAGCCATAGTATTTAAAAATTCCTTCGGTTCTTAGACTGAGTAATGGTAATAGGATGACTCATTTATTTAGTAAAACGACTCTTAGAAAAGCTTCAGTATAAAAATATATCGTTTATATTTTTTACCATAATTAACTGTTAGTAGGTTCTTTTTTTTATCATTCAGTTTAACATTTTCTTGTTTGACAAAAGAGAAATTTTAATTTAACTAAATATTCAAAATATACTGTTTTACTTGTATCCAAGTTTTCATCATAATTTCATTGACCAATTTTTTTTAATAAACATTTAAGTTTGAAAATTTATGTAAAAACAACAAATTTCGTGTTTCATATAATTATTTACTTAAACGATTATGCAATAAAATTTTGACTAAAAATTTTTAAAAAATATTTAGTATTTTTAGGTAAGTATATGAGTAAAGTGAAATTAAATTTTTAAGTTTTAATATCTAAAAACAAAAAAACTTATTGCATAAAAACTCTCAAAAAATAAGACATTTTCAATGTTTTATATTTAGAAATGCTCAACTTCTTTTGAAAATATTGTCAAAAATGAAAAAAAATGTTTATGATATTTAGTAAAAGTTTTAAATCTCTAGCCACATTACTTTTGTCTAAATAACTAAACACAGAAAAGTGAAAGTTTCATTTACATCACATTTCTACTGTTTTAGTCGGTTTTTTGGCAGTTTTTTTTACGTCAAGATAATCTATTGAGATTATAGAAAAATCATCTGTTTATACTACTACCTTAGACCAATTTTGAATCTAAAAAATTGCTAAATGAAACTTTTGGATCAGTATTTCTAATCAAGAAAGTATTAACAGAAAAAAAAATAAAAAAAGTTAAACATCATGGTAAAACCAAAAGGTTCTTTACTTCACTCAGAATCTAGAACATGGGATACAATATGGAATAATTGTTTTCCTTTTAGGTTTCAAAACTTTTTTCTGAAACCGAAAACGACGACAAAAGTTTTACAATCATAGTTAACATATTATAGGTGGGACGTAAAAGATAAATTGCGAACAAAAAAGAGTGATTTATATCACCATTGAAGTGTTCATAAAATCGTAAACATTTCATGTTCTAAATATTTTTAGGAGTAAAAAAAACATTCAAATATTCATTTGGTGAAAACTTTGATTCTTATCAAAATTAAAACGTGTCTATCGGCGGCAAAACATTTATTTTAAATCGATACGTAGATGAATGCTTAAGAGATGATTATATTTTTTTATCCGATGTTATTTTTGTATAGCTCACTATAATAACAATCGGCTCACATATGATCGTAGGTCGAAAAATATCACCTCTGATGAGTCAATACATCCGGATAAAACATGAGTATCTTCTGTGGGACCAGTAAAATATACAATTAAATAAATATAAAAGAATTGTGGTTTTAATATAAACCTTGCATAACGATATGTATTGTATAAACGCACGTCACCGATAAAACAAACTAGAAGTTAGCGTCTGTCCATAATGGTCTTTTTTTTTATTACCACGTGGGATAGATTTATCCGTCTTCGTCGTCGTCGTCGCTTGCGTCTATTACACCTACCACTCCGACCTGGACGTGGAAAAACAGTTGAGTCGCCCACGTCGTCGTCTTTGGGGTGCATTCGTGCAGTTGTTTGTTTGGCTGAAAAACGCGTTCGTGTAACACTCACTTACTTACCTGCCTACTGGCCGAATCCGACTGACTGTAACCCGCCCCCATACACCTGTGGCTGTTGCTAATGCTGTACCATACATCGTCGATATCGTCATCGTACTGTTATCTTCTCATAATCACTAAATTTACGAGGTAATGCGAGGGAAAGATGATTGTCCATCGCGAAAACTTGATCAGTTCTTCACAATGATTTATCACCGAAGGTCTTATTCCTCGAACAGTAGTGCCATGCGAAACGTTAACTACCTTTTAATGCAATTAGATAATATTCACTACGTATTTAAAACACATTAGTACATGTGGTGCGCACGACGTTTCGAAAAGACTTCGGCGCGTCGATTTTTATCGTTCCAATTATGGAAAATACCTGTTATCCCTACACTACCAACGGCTATGGATCGACAAACTATGACCGTATCTTATTGATATGGCCGCGTAAGTATATTTATCCGGGGTTTACTAGTTGCGTCCTGAAGACCCTTATTTAGTCTATTTAGGCCCTAGTGTTTTTCAAAGTTGCAGGTTCGACCGATACACACTGAATCGTCTGTTTGTCAGTAGACTTGGGCCGTGATCCTCAGTGAATAAGTGTGTTATTCAAAAACCTATTGAGTTGACCAAGTCGACATTATTTATATCAATTCACAGATGTAAGAATTAAATCATTTGAAAAGGAACATATTTAATTTTATTATAAGGACTGGGAAATCAAATGATTTAAAAATTGGAAGAAAAAAAAAATGACCTTAATAATATTACTGAAAATTACTTTTAATCCGAAAATATTGGCGTTTATTAATACTCAGGTTTTATTTGTTTAGTTATAATGTAAATATTAGATTTAATTTATTGCCAAATTATTGCAACTGATTTCAGTAAAAGCTGTGAAGTTAGATTTGTTGTATGAACAGTTACAAACGCAATAAATATTAATTTTTATAGATAAGTTATATTGTACTCGTAGTATAGCTTATGATTTTCTCATGTACTCATAATTATTGGTTTCTGAATAGTCAACATATTTATTTAAATTACAATATAGTTTTCTTTATTCAAAATCAAACTTCCGGAAATAAAATATACCCAAAAAATTGTCTATACATGAACCATGAAATCACAAAAAGGATACAAATATAATTTTAATTTATAATTCTACTTTTTTTTTCATTTAGTTGTATTTCAGATATGAAGGGAGAACTTGAAAATAATATTAAGTTTTATCCAAAAAGAGTTTGTATATATTTATAAAAAAATAAGTGGGTTTGTGTTTCATAGTTAAAAAAATAAACACAAGAATAACCATGAATTATTCTACCTAATGTTAAAAATTCAAAAGAATTTACTCAATAAACTTTGTTTATTAAAGTCTTAAATTTTGAAATAAGCTAAAACTGATTATTTTTCCAAATATTTGCGTTTATATTTTACTTCGACCTATATCTACTACCGAATATTATTATTTATTATTATTTTCTGATGGATTCAAATAATGCATAATAATACACGAATAAGAACGTTGTTTTTTATATAAGTCAAAAACTTAAGTACACGGATAATCATAGTATTATTTCAGTCTAATATATTATCAATTTATGGTCATCAATAATGGAAAAAATACAAGCAAAAGATTAGTTCTATTAAAATATATTGAGTATCTTAGCATAGGATTTATTTGTTATTAAAATAATACAGTGTAAAACATTTTAACCTTATCATCTGTTTTTCAGTAAAACCTGAATTACTTAATCTTTAAATAACCTATTTTTTGTGAATTTAAGAAAATGTGTTAAAACATTTTACATTTTAAATTGAACTAAAACTATGTTTGATTAAAAAAATATTGCAGGCTTAATGGTTTTTAATTATTTTTTGTGACACGAAAAAAGTGTTAAAAATATTAATAATTCTCAATGTTATGCTTCACGGATGAGTATATTTATTTAATTTTATTGTTTTTAGTAGATTATTTCAATCGTATAAATGGTCATAATATTATTGTTATACGTATAAATTCCAAACTGTTTTTGTATTTTATGTATATTAATAAGTTTTTATAAAAATATTTAAAAAAACCACACTTCTGTTTTCAAGTCTTAAATAAACGTAACATTTTATAACAAACGTGTCTATCGGCTGTACACCATTGTTAAATACTTTAAGCTTCTGCTTAAATTTTTATTTCCTTATTCCGGAGTAAATTAGGTTTACTTCAATCAATGAAATCAGATTAACTTATAAGTTATGCGACCCACGAGAAATTCGGAATGATCCGCTCGTATTATGTAGTTTCCGTTGTATTGGTAATGTCAAAAAAATGTAGTTTGCAATGGGTGACTTTTGGTAGAGATTTTTATAAAAATTCACTACTTGTTACTATGGTTAATTCACGTTTGAAACGGTTTAACGTGCTTTTATCATTTTCTAACAAACTACTGGTTCTACGCGTGTCAGTACAGAGAATATTCGTAAACGAACAATATTTTTGCGCACGATGTTATTATCCGTGATGGCGAGGGGTGGACGGAAATACAAATTATTATAACGGTGTATTTTTTATAGTTATTGACAATTCCAATATTTAATTTACCTCGTTTATTTCACGGTTTCCAGCATTACAATTTTACATTACAATTTATGCTTTGTTGTTAAATGAAATTTATTTTCACACTATAATTAAAATTTTTACATATTTATTGTTTTACGTGCTAGATGATATCGATTATTTTCAATACATTATAACGAAAATGTGCTCATTTAAAATAATAAGAAAATTCTATCGCGTTCGGCTTCGGAGAATTGATTTAAAAATAATATAGTGCTAACGAAATAAACAATATATTATTATGTGTGTAAGAGTAATCATTGTATACTAACAATTTATATATACCTACGGGCAAGTATAGCATAAAAGTATTTATTCCAAACAGCACTTGTCTACTTAAAAAAATATTTAATTAATTATTATGACTGTACAAACAAAATAATGGTTTTTGAAAAAACTGACATTACGGTCATCATGATATTACAAGTGAAATATGTTCGTTTGATTCATTTGACAAGTTCTGTGTATAATAATTACGTATATTACAAGAAAAATTATTATACCACTAAAAAGATGAAAAAACTTTATGCTCTTAATATTTTTAACGACATTTGATATAGTTGATAGAAATTTTGAAATTCGTTCCTTTTTCAATTAAGTCCTAAGCAAAAATGTGCAGGTATTATAATAGAAATGCTTTTAAAGGTTAGATATTAAAATACTAATTTATACGTCTTATTATCGCATGGACTATTTTAATTAATGTTCATGTAACCCTATGTTAGATTCTAATTTTTTTACTTTCGAAATTTGGTTTTGAAAGAAAATTAATTTTCGATTAAAAGTTTTGCCGAAACAATAATAATTTATACAATTCTATACTTTATTATTATTATTATTATCAAAAAAAAAAAAAAAAATTAAATAATTTATTAATTTATATTTCGGTGTATACATGTGAATATATAAATATGACAATTTAACTAATTATAATTTTTAAATTTAATTTAATTCAAATGTGTCTGTAGAACCTTTATATTGATCTAGAAGCACACCCTGAGAATCACTTTAAAAATAATTGACTTCAGCTGCTAGATAATAGGTATAAGTAAAAAAAAACAAAAAAAACTGCACCGTTAACCATGGGACCACTTCAGCGTATGATATATTTTGCCCACAAGGTTATAAGTCGTTATTTTCTACAGCTGCCGGGCGATAACCAACTAACACTTTTCGTTGTGGGTAGGGCCGATTATTGGAAAATTAAAATTCAGGTTATACGCGCACTGCAATGTCTTGGGGTGAATGATGAAGTTTCCTATTTTGTAGTATTACAAGTTAAATGATTTTTTTGTTTTTTTTTATTACCGTGTACACATATAGATACATTATGGATCAGTTTCACTGTAACCTTTTGCTCTCCAGCGTCATTTCAACTAATAGTGTATCGTGTTAAAAAGATACTAACGATCACTGACAAACTCTGTATAGGTGTAGTCAAGCGCTGTAAACTTAACGTCAAAATTGTTTTTATTTAAACATGGTTTGTGGGCTTGGTTTACTATATACAAAGGGGTTCTGATTATAATATGTAAAATTATGTTTTGGAAAGACTTGAAATTGGACGAATATTTGAGGGTTTAGCTGGACCCCAGATTTATATACCATAAGACTGAGTGGTCTAGTTATGGTTTTGTATAGGATAACTTTTAATTTTATTGGTAGTTTTCCCTTTAAAATAAGTTGGAAAAAGTGAAGTCTATTATTAGCCATTTTTATTTTGTTTTTGAGGTAGAGATCTCAAAGAAGCTATTTAATATACTTTGATATTTCGTTTCAACGGAGACAAGAATGATTTTGTTATTACATTTTATTAAGGTACATTTATCTCAACGAAGGGAAAAAGTGACTTTAATTGCTCTCATTAATCTTTATCAACTAGTTTTCGCACCAAGTTTCGATGGCTGCGTGATATTACAAGTTTTGAGCAGCTGTAGTGATATAATTAGGTGAATACATTAGAACCATGTCATCAGAAAAAGTGTTTAATAATGCGTTAGGAGTGTGTGGGATATTGGTGGTATAGATATTATAAAAGGTTTTAATAAAAATCAATCTCGATTTTCTTTAATGGTGTTATTTAAAGTTTTATTTTGAAATAAAAAAATTTTATGTCAAATTTGAGTACGATATCTGATTATTGCAACAGTTACCTTGGGGTGAATGTTCTCAGCACTCTCGTGTCTTATAATTAACGTGCTCCTATAGATTTACTTAATTATTTTACGTTTACACTGCTGGTCGCAGGAATATTGTAGCAGCCTTATGATGTATTGTAATGTTCGCATAAACATACATATAATATAATAATATAATATAACAAATAGTATTTATTGTATTACATTAATAACGTTGAGTGAAAACAATGTGTAGAATATCACTAATTATAATTCAATAGTATAATATCAGAGTGAGCAAAGTCTAAAACGTCATATTTAATTAATAAAAAACCTCTCGAAATTTGGTAAAAAATAACAAAAATATACTAGTCCGTTCATAAGCAAAAAATTTTTAGACAATCTTAACTTTCGTTAATCGTTTACAATGAATTTAATTTCAAACGACAGTAATTCAACTAAATAAGTATTATTTTCTGCTTTTGGACATTCCTCGTTTAGCGTTTAGAGTGTTAAATGGTTTATGTGTTGGATTCAAAATTTTTTTCTCTAAACGAATAAATATAAATTTAAATCCTAAATGACTTCAGTCCCAAGACAATTAATTACTCTAATGATTTGGTCTGTTTTGATACTTTTTCTAAGTTCGGTGGGTTCGTGAATACTCTAAGTTTGATGTAACGAAACGTGAGACATAACTATAACTCACTTGTCGTGTATCACATGCCTTTAGGTATGTACACATTTATTTTATTTTTATCTGGTATTAAACATTAAATTACTAACGAGTTAAAATTTAAAAGCCAATGTTAACAGATAACTGTTAGTGGTTGTTAGTGGGTGCGGCCTATAAAAATATAATTTCATTGTACGTGACTTATTTCCATCGATTGTATTCTTAATTAATGCAGCACTCTTGCACCGTGAGTAAAATTAATAATATTTTTAAAATTATTTGTAGCGTATCCAATATCAATTATTACATTTCTTAGTAGACACGTTCGGTAGAGTAACGCCGTGTGATTTTGACAGTAATACTATACAGTTGCGCAGTTAACTGTATAACGTGTTCGTATGAATTATTAAATGTTAACTGACAAAATAAATGTCATTTACCGGTTTTCTAGTTGCACCAGAGGTATGTCCGCAATTTTTTTGATGATCAACTGGTAAATATTACACCCAACATTTTATAGAGTGTTCGACCAAGACAATATATTCATAGCGATATCATTTGAGGTATAACGAAAACAATAAAATTAATTTCTTTTTTTTTTTTTTAAAGTCACTCACAGCCCAACTCAATCCAAGTAAAAATAATAAGTTAACCCATTATATGCAGTTATAAAAATTAGCCAATTTAATACCTCGGAGTATTTCTCAACAAAAATACATACTATGGAAAATACAAACTTATAGTAAACTAAACCGATGAAAATGTATTATCCCCTAATAAAGTTTAGTTTAATATTTTGATTCAAATGTTCACATTATATTTAAATAACAAGACTAATTACAAACATATGCATTCTTGGTATAAGTTGGTGTATCTTAAATAAAATTAAAAACATTTCCGACTTTTCATAAAAAATTTTTTAGAATAGTTTTAAGAGCACACTGGTTCATACGTAACAAACAGCTCCATAATGATACTGAAAAACTATATCTAGACTCATGGATCCCAAACCAATATTAGTTAAAAATTCACACAAAACTAAACTCAATTTAAAGAGCCCTTTATTATAAAATTGGAAAAAAAAAATAAGATGTGTTGACTGAATTCATGCCTTCCACATAATGTTTTTTTTTCTTATCTATGACCGAATCATTGTAACCATTGTATCATTATTGTAATTATTTTATCTTTCTCAATTGTTTTATTCTGTCGTACCTAATTCAAATCACAAAAAATTTTAACTCGTAACTTGTTATGGTATAATCATTGTTGAATAAATCGGTTTAATAAATAAAAAAATTAGAACATTTTAATTTATTACCATATCTACCGATTGTATAATTATATTATTAAATTAACACTGTGTTCGAAATCGTCACTCGCACTATCTTTAAAAATAAAACGAAATATAACTATAAAAAAGTATCCGAAAAATGCCACGAATCCTTCGGGTTCAATGAGCTGTATACTCGTACTGCACCGGAACTGTCTAGAGGTGAATTTTTTTTTCTTTTCGTATTTTTAATGTTATTATTACAAATGCCTACAGGCTACATTTACAGAACTTACGTGTTGAGCCGTCAGGCTATCGAGGATCAAATAACCTGGGGAGAAAAACAAATTAAAACAATAACAGTTTTTTTTTTAATTAATCTGCATTTTTATTGTTATTCGTGTTACATACACGTAAACAGAATATTTCGTTGTACGATACATATTATTATGATTAATATTACATAAATAATATATTACAATAATTATATTAAGACGGAATTTTTTAATTCGCTGAAATGGTTGATAACAATGACAAAAAGAAAATAAGGAACAGTGTACGATAGTATTATTATAACAGGTATCTATAATGTGTATAGAAATATTAATTAAAACGAGGAAATATAATCAACCGGTTTCGAGTCGAGTGGAACACGTGCGGACGATGCGAATATTATGATTACGAGTCCTTGACGAATATTCTTTCCAACAATCGAAATTTACCAATTCCACTTGCAAGTTTTCTGATGGAACCGGACGATTAACTATTACTGAGTACGTAGTTGCAGGAATGAGCAAAATAAAAATGATGATGTAAAGGGCGATGATGGTTGCACGGCGTTATAATAATAATAATAATAATTATAATAATTATAATAATAATAATAATTATAATAATTATAATAATAATAATAATCATAATAATCATAATAACGTGTGTGTGTCGCGATTATTTAAATAACGTCGTTGGCCGACATGAATTGGAAATCTCTGTACCGGTAGCCCTCGCAGGACGCTTCCGAAGACTTGCACGCGTGACACTTGCACGACGTCGCTTGCGGGAAAACGTACAGCTCCGTGCCCGGTTCCGCGCCATCGTCGCAGTCCCTCAGCACGAACTGGGTTAGCTCCCGACCACCGTGTATGCACACCGGGTGGTGCGAACGTTTGTACGGGAACCGCCAGTCCGACACCTGTGACAAACCGACCAAAAACACGAAACGCGTATTAATAATACAAACATTGTTATTTTCACTAATCCTCGTCAACTATGACCACGAATGTGATGTTTAATGCATTTTGTACGGTAGTATTTTGTTAGTATTTGTTTGGGGGGGGGGGGGTGTTAAATATCAGGTTAGTGTGGTGGTGCTAACCTAACCTAACCTTCCCTAGGTGGTGGACGGTTTTCTCTCTCTGGGCGAACGTGATCGCATTTCAACCGGTGACCGTGTTTTTGGAAATAGCCACCTTATCTATTGCACATAGTGTATGTTCCGTCTTAGCAGTATTTCAGCAGCTCTTCGATCATTATTCGGATCTATGATAGACTATTCTGCATTCGAAATGTAATACTTCATCGTCAGACTCCAGAAGCCGTTGAAAGAGTTTGTTTTGAAAGTTGTATTGCTATTATTTTTATTATTAATTTTTTTTTTTTTTTATTCCAAAGTATGAAAATAGAAATTTGTTTTCAAGTTCCCTAATGATTTTATGTGATATACATGCATTTTTTTCGATAGTTCTTACATGTTAACTGATAATAAAGCTTTTCACTGTTATGCTGACAAACATTGGAGAAACAATTACACTATCAGATTGGGCGATTATTGATTTTAAACAGCACTATACACCTATATAGAAATGTGCTATTTTCCTATGGAAATTTCTTATAAGATTTTAATACCTACGAATGCATGCGTACATGGATTGGCATCTCGCAATAAAAACATTTTGCGCTCTGAGCTCTATTGACGGATAATTAAAGCTTCAGTTTTATTTATAGGTGAAAGGTATAAGAAAAATAATATCTGTAACAAGACGTATGGATTCATTTGAACACCATAAACTCACATATTATACCTACATAATTTTTTTCTTTTTTTAATAATTTTTCGGAGATTCAGATTGTTAATCAGTCTATGAACCAATTCGTAATGCATTTTAAAATATATCCTATTATTATTCAAAAAATGTATATTTAAACATACGCTGCATTACGAATATTCTGTTGCAACAAATATACATACCTACAATATTGTTATCAATACTGTGCACAAAACTTATTGAATTGATTGGTATTGATAATTTTTACTGCAAAGCCTCAATTGACCACCTCAAAATCATGACAGCCAATCTACAGTCTTATAGAATATTGATCCACTTCTTAAGAGAAGAAAAAGCCGAATTTCACACATTTCAACTGAAAGAAGACAAGCCTTTACGAGTTGTCATTTGTAATTTACATCCAACTACGTCGACAGAGTCAATCAAATCTGAGCTCGTACAACGTCTATTCGATGCCAGGCAAGTTTCAAAAGTACTTCACAAGATAAACAAACACCTGCTACCACTGTTCTTTGTGGACCTTGAACCATCCGACCTATCCAATGATATTTTTAAACTTTCGTCATTTCTCCACACAAAAGTTAAAGTAAAAGAACCATATAAACCTAAAATGATAAGCCAATGTACAAACTGTCAAGAATATGGGTACACAAAATCATATTGATGTTATCCGGCTTGTTGCGTTCGCTGCGGTGCACTTCATACGTTGCCCGTCCAACCGTCCAAATTCCCGTGATGTCCCACCAAAGTGCGCTCTCTGTTCTGGAGAACACCCATAAAACTATAAAGGCTGCTCCGTTTACAAAGATCTTCAACGACGAAAAAATCCAAAACCAAGTAATCAGTTAACTGATAATTTTAATTCTAAAAATTCTAATATAAAAGATACCCATTCAGCAAAAGCCTCCTCAATAAACCCTTCTGTCTTGACACATACGTACACTACCTCTAACTCAGTCTCCAACTATATTGATATCCTCCTTATTATTCCAAACTCTTCCAAACTTCTGGCAACCCTATTTATAGTCTTGTGCCATATTACTACATCTAAATAAAATTTCAACTACAATAGCAGCAATATATTCCCCACCACGTCATAGCATAATTATCCAAAATTATGTCGATTTCTTTAACATTTTTAGTCATAATTTTATAATATGTGACGACTATAATGCCAAGCATCATAGCTGGGGCTGTCATAAAAATAATCCTAGAGGCGTGGTCCTTTACAACTTTATAAACCAAAAAAGCTACAATATTCAAGCTCCACCAGGTTAAACATACTGGCCTACCTCCCTACGCAAAAAACCGGATATTTTAGATATTTTTGTTATAAAAACACCGTATAACATATTCTACACGACTATTAATCTTCTTAAACCTACTTCGGATCACTCAGCAATAATTCTGACTGCTAGTACTACTCCACCAATCCATCCTTCACCCCCTAAATTGTTTCACTTAACTACTGATAAGCAAAAGTTCCATGACTTAGTCAACCAAAACATTGACCTCAAGGTTAGTCTAAAATCCACCCGAGAAATTGATGATGCCGTAAATAAGTTTATAAATATAATCCAAACAGCAGCATGGGATGCTAGCCCTACACCTAAATCGCGTAAAAACTATCCTTCTTCAATTCTTGAACACATTCGTCTCTTAATAACTAACAAGCGTAGAGCGAGGGCTCTGTATCAATGCTCTCGTCTTCCCTCGATACTTTAACAATCTAGCTAATTCTTTAAAGAAACTTCTGGCCTATCACAAAAATCAAGACTTTGCCGACTATCTCTCAAATCCGGCACCAAATAATGGTAGTCTCTGGGCAGCCACAAAAAAGTCCCTTCAACGTAAAATTCCGAGTATCCCACTAATATATCCAGCCGGTGGGCTTGCTATTTAAGATGCAGACAAAGCTGAATTGTTTAAAAATCACTTTGCTCAAATATTCACCCTCACATCCCGACATACAAGAACTCCAACATACAATTTTAGTAAAAAATTACCTTGATAGCTCTCTCCCTGTTTCCCTTCCTACTAAACACTTCACTCCAAATGATATTAAATTTGCAATATAATAATATAATCATAAAAAATCCCCTATTTACGACCTAATTACAGCGGAGATTGCCAGGTGTCTTCCAAAAAGAGCAATTATTCTACTCACGGTTTTATTTAATGCTTCTTTAAGACTGACTTACTTTCCACAACTTTGAACATTTTCAACTATAATTGTTTTCCCAATATCCAAAAAGCCTTCTGATATCCCCTCCTACTACAGACCCATAAGTCTTTTACCATTTTTTGCAAAAATCTTCGAAAGACTTGTCCTAAAAAGAATTTTACTATGCATTACTTCCAATAATATACTACCAAACACTTAATTCGGTTTCCACGCGTCTCATTCCACAACTCATCAACTACATAGATTAGTAGATGCTATATCATCTTCTCTCGAAACAAAAAATACTGCTTCTCCGTGTTCCTTGATGTATCCCAAGCATTTGATAGGGTCTGACATAAGGGTCTACTGTACAAACTTAAATGTTTCCTACCCCGAACATATTACGAGTATTTACTGATCAAATTTTATCTTACCGACTGTCATTTTCAAATCAAGTTTGGATCGTCCTTCTCAAACGTTGCTGATATTAATGCAGGAGTACCACAAGGTGATATACTTTCTCCGATATTATATAATATATATGCTGCAGATCAACCTACTTTTCCATACACATCAGTTGCCGAGTTTGCAGATGATAAGGCAATTATGTCAATACACGATGATCTACAAACTGTCTCTTCAAATCTCCAATACCTTGAGTTAATATCAAACTGGTATAAAAAATAACGAGTTAAGGTCAATCAATAGAAGTCCATACATACCACTTTCAACCTTCGCCTCTATCCTTGTCCTGAAGTTTCTCTTAACAACATCCCAATCCCATCAATCCAATCAGTAAAGTACTTAGGCCTAATTTTTGATCACCGCCTCACCTGGACACCCCATATCAAATCAAAAAAACTCGCCCTAAATGAAAGTCTCCGTTCGCTTAAAACATTGATATCTAATAAACACACCAAATTAAACACCTAACTACTCATATACAAATCCTTAATCAAGCCGATGTAGAATTATAGCCTCCAACTCTGGGGCAATGCAAAAAAATTTAATATAAACAAAATATAAATCTTTCAAAATAAAATCCTACCCACAATCATTAATGCTCCACCATATGTGTCCAATTCTACTTTACACACAGGTTTAAAAATAAAAACTGTTCAGGCTGAAGCAGTTACTCGTATATTCTATAAACGTTTTCATAACAGACTACCTTCCCATCCCAACCCTCTCATTTCAAATCTAGCAACTCGTAAAATTCCTGGTAATTCCTCACGATGACTTAAAAGAAACTGGTGCAGAGATTTACTTAATGAATAACAGAAAAAAAAATTAAAAATCAATTAAAGAAAAAAAACAAATTTAAAAAAAAAGATAATGTTATCACGTGATGGCTTCTTCCATCACGTATTTTATGTTAAAAAAAAATCAATCATCACATAATCTTATTGTGCTTATGGGCATAGATTGTATATTTCTAATTAAAAAAAAAAAAAAAGTTTAACAAAACAAAAATTCAATGGAAAAAGAGGAAGCAAAATATGACCAAAATATATGAATTTATGAAATTTAATTTTAGAGAAGGAGTTGTTTCTATTAAATTATTTTATATCATTTCGAAGAAATAAATAGTAAGTATCTAACAGATAATAGAGACGATTGATCGCAGTGACAAAGCAAAAGTTTTGGATAAAATAAATTCATCGTCAATAATAATTTACTTGTATACGATCACGAGTTATTCCCAATCATTCCATTTTTTGTGTATATCAATATTTAACAATGTTCAAGTTGGGGATAAATTTGTCACAGGTGAACGCAGACTTTTAGCTTTTTTTATATGGCTAATAAAAATGAATTCCTATATAATAATAATCCTCCCATCAAAATTGTTTTTTATTTTATTAAAAATAAAAAGCATTATCATTAAAGATAAAAATACTTAAAAACGTTAATTCATTAAATATACAATACTAGGGTTTTATTCGAGTGCGCACTTATAGC